TAGGTTCAAAATTACTCTCTATTTAACTAAATCCAAATTTCGTAGTGTCTCTATAAAATTTAGTGAAAATTAAAGGTAAGTCTCCCTAGATGGACTTATAATGATTTGAGTCCTGGAAGAAAACTAATATGAGAGTAAGTTCATATTTAAACTTATATATAGGTACTTAAGTCCACTTATTTTTTAAATCTCAAAATTACCCCTAATGGTGTTAGTTTTGTCCAATTAATAAGTTAAACCATTGAGGTCTATATGAAAATCCTTGATTGAGTTATATATGGAAACCGTTTATTAAATATTATGATAATTAACGAAAGTTTTATATGGAAGTTATATATTCTGATAGTTATATATGGTAGTTTGATGTACAAATAAATTGTTGGTCTATTAAGTCAAAATAAAATCACAAAATTTCTTTAACAATTCAAAATTTTCTTAATATTAGTGTTACTATAGTCACACTAACAATAGTGATTTTACGTGAACGTTGATGTTCATTGTAGAGTTTTAAAAAACTTCTACATAATATAAAATTCAAATTGTCCGTTTTTTTTTGTATTCCTAATTGAAAAATTGAGATTCATTATTATTAAATTAAAGTGTTATATAATTCGATTTTGTTGTTTTCTTTGTTGTGGGACATTCGAAATATCTTGATTGTGTGTCTATGAAATAGATCATGTTATTGTATGATAACTAAAAAATGTATTTCAGAATTTCGATGTNATTTTGTTGTTTTCTTTGTTGTGGGACATTCGAAATATCTTGATTGTGTGTCAATGAAATAGATCATGTTATTGTATGATAACTAAAAAATGTATTTCAGAATTTCGATGTTGTATTGTTCTTGATTGGTGTTGAGTATCCTAATTCAATTGTCAACGGTGTGTTACTACTAAAAATTTTGTAAATTTTCAATTTGTGAATCATATTTTCATTATAATTTTTTGAAAATTAATGTTACTGTGAAAACCTTATTACCTTCTATTTTGTAAAAGTTAATGTGTTACTGAGCACAAATCTTTGATGTTACTGTTAAAATTAAATTTGTATGTTACATAATATTCGTCTAAAGGTTTGTCATTGGTAGTGTATGTAAAAATTGGGATTGAGTTTGTGTTACTATTTGAAATGGTGAAATTCTTTATTTTGGGTATTAAGTATTTTAAGGAAAACAATCTCATTCGTATCATTATAGTAACACTAATGTTAAGAAAATTTTGAATTGTTAAGTAAATTTTGTGATATAATTTTGACTTAATAGACTAACAATTTATTCGTATATCAAAATTCCATATATAACTACCAGAATATATAATTTTCATATAAAACTTCTGTTATTTATCATAATATTTAATAAACGGTTTCCATATATAACTCAATCAAAGGTTTCTATATATATCTTAATGATCTAACCTATGTGAAGGAGACGGTAAGTCAGACGTCAATTATTGTTTTCCCAAAAGGTAGGGGTAAAATAGTAAATTTGACAAAAAGTAGATTTAAAACCAAATAGGTTTTCTTGCCGAACTTATTTCCAAATAAGTTCATATAGGGAGATCGGTCTCCAAAATTTCCTAAAATTTATCCCTTTTGTATAATAGGCCTATTTTTTATTTTTTTTTTGTATTTTAGATCTAATTCAAATTTTTGGGGCTCGAATTTTAGTAGTTTAATTCAATATCTAATTTTATTAGATCTAAAATTACGCAATCTTTGTGAGGCTTTATTTAAGTTTTTTTTAGCTCTTTTGAGTGTGTTTATAGTTGTATTCCTCTCACTCACAACAATAGAGGATGTGAGAGAGCACCAGTTACGGGATCAACGGGTCGTCAAGGACAGTCACAAGATAGAAGGTGGAAAAAAAATTGAATGTGATTCATGTCTTTTTTGGCGGCAACTTGAATACGTATCCAAAGTCGAATTAGAATAAAGTTAGACATATATGATTAGTAGTGTTTTTTTTTTTACCAATGGAATTCCTTACATAATATTTCACGAATTCGAATTTGAATTTATCGACACTCCATTCAATCTAAAATTGAGGTGAAAATAATACTAAATTGATAGAATTCTACTCTTAAACTTATCTGAGTATTAAGATGAAGCATTTATATTTGATTCGTTCTAGAGGTAAGGGTAGAAATTTCATTCAAGCCTTTTTATATAATAGAAATGACCAAAGCTCAAGGCAAGAAGTGTGATTTGAAAAACACAACGGTGTTCTTAAAGATATGAAATTATTTAGAATGTGTGGATGTAATATTCTAACCAAACAAACATTTTGTTTCCTATTTAAAAGTATGAAAGATTAATATTTTATTCAATCTTGTATTTAGAATTACATGGCCTGAGGTATATATAATGTGAAAGATTATAAGGAGTCCCAATATGATTTGTATTTATCTCTGTTAGTTGGGAAGGCTGATCACAGAGTTGAGGCTACTTTGGATAGATTTAATCCTTGGTTTGGATAGATCTAACCCTTATCTCTAATACACCCCTACAAGTGAAGGGTGTCGTGAGGAAGACTGAGTTTGTCCTGTAGAAGTTGAAAACGTGGTGTTGAGAGTGACTTGGTCAGAATGTTAGCCACTTGATCCTTGGTGGGTAGGAAATGAACTTGAAGATTGCCTTTAGCAACATTGTCACGAACAAAGTGGAAGGCAAATTCAATATGCTTTATGTGATTGTGAAAAAACTAAGTTTGAGGTGAGGAAAGTTGCACCAACATTGTCACACCATAAACTTGGACGTTGTGTTTGCAAAACATAAAGTTCTTGGAGAAGGGACTGAAGCCATAATATTTTAGATGTAGCGTTGGCCAAAGCTCAGTATTCTATGTTAGTGTTGGAGCGGGCAACTGCACATTGCTTCCAGGAAGGCCATGAAACAAGATTTGGAGCGAGGAAAACGGTATAACTGCTGGTTGATTTACTGTCATCAAGACAACCAGCCTAATCAGCGTCAAAGGTTAAATGTGACGAGTGTCGAGTAATGGGAAAGCACATATCAGTGGTCGCCTTGAGATATCGAAGGATTCTTTTGACAACAGTCCAATGGGCTATGGTTGGTTGGTACATGTATTGGCAAACCTTATTAACGGAGTAAGAAATATCTAGGTGAGTTATTGTGTTGTATTGAAGTGTGCGAACAATGCTCCTATATTGAGTGGCATTATGATGGAGCTTGGTGACCCAAGAGAAGGGATTGGAAATGGGTTTGGCACCATCATGTGTGCACGTTTGAAAAGGTCGATGATATATTGTCGCTGATTGAGAAGTAGACATGTGGAAACATGAAGGACTTCAATACCTAGGAAGAAATGTAGATTTCGAGATCCTTGATAGCAAATTCTATGTCGAGCATTTGGGTGAGGGAAACAACGGATGTAGAGGAACTGTTAGTGATGATTAAGTCATCCACTTATATCAAAACATACAAAAGAAAGTCGGTTGTGCTGCAAATAAAAAGGGACAAATCTATTTTTGAAGCAATGAAGTTGTGGTTTAGGAGGAAGGTGCTTAAACGGCCAAACCAAACAGGGGGTGCTTGTTTGAGGTCATAAAGAGACTTTCGTAAGCGACACACATGATTAGATTAGCGAAAGTCAATGAAGCAAGGGGTCTGCTTCATGTAAACTTATTCATTACAAGTTCCATAAAGGAAGGAATTGCTTCCAAGAAGAGAATCCAACCGATGAAAAACATGTGAGAGTGTATACTTTTCATTTGGATCACATTGGAACAGATTTACATGATTCAGGGTACAATTTGAAAAAATTGAACTTTCGTGTCTAAATTAAAAATTTTGGTATCTTTCGAGGGCAAATTGGGATTTACCCTATTTTTCCGTGCGACAATCTGATTAGGGAAGGCAGTGGACGGAAAAAAGAGAGGGTATTTTTTCAAACCTGTTCTGTTTGGACCGAAGATGAACTATACATATTGAACGATAGACGTATATGAAAATATCAAAATATCCGTATAGGAATGAAGACGGAGATGAACTTTCCTTTTCCCCCGCCCAGTCCTTGTTATCCTTTATATATATATATATATATATATATATATATATAAATCCCAGTTAAACAACCCTAAGGCTAAGGTCCTAACTTCCCCTCTCGCCTCTCTCTGTTTCTCTCGATCGATCGATCCTCTCTTGTTGTCTCATCTTCGAAGCCACAAGCCAGCCACAGGCCCACAAGCATCCCAGGTTCTCTCTCTCCTCTCTAACTCTCTGTATGACAGTCTCTGTGTATTTTGCGTGATATGTTCCATTATTAAACATGAACAAAAAATTATATTGCCAATCTACCATGTTTTGGTATACATCCGTTAATATAAACTACGAATATATAACTAACAGCCATTCAATGAAATAAAAGTTAACACANTTTCCTCTCTGACTCTCTGTATGACAGTCTCTGTGTATTTTGCGTGATATGTTCCATTATTAAACATGAACAAAAAATTATATTGCCAATCTACCATATTTTGGTATACATCCGTGAATATAAACTACGAATATATAACTAACAGCCATTCAATGAAATAAAAGTTAACACATATCCAACAGATAGTGAGAAAGCGATTGAAACACAATGAACCAAGAATGAATTGCAGACAATACCGTCTATTAACCATTTTTAAAGATGAGTGAGGATGTTCAAAGTGCAATTATTTAATAGAAATCAAATCACAAGTCTAAAGAACTTACCAAAGGCCTTAACTACAGGAAAAAATTATTCATTTGTCTCTTTGTGTTCAATTGGGTTGGTTCATACACTTNAGTACCGTCTATTAACCATTTTTAAAGATGAGTGAGGATGATCAAAGTGCATTTATTTAATAGAAATCAAATCACAAGTCTAAAGAACTTACTAAAGGCCTTAACTTCAGGAAAAAATTATTCATTTGTCTCTTTGTGTTCAATTGGGTTGGTTCATACACTTTAACTACCCTTACGCTTGAACGAGACTTAATTGGTCACCTGCATATATGTTGTTTATTGTTACAACTCACGGAAAGTGCTATAAAAGACCAAAGGAAAAGTTGAATTTTGTTTTGCCGCACTTTTTATATTGTTACTTCTTCTATTCCGATCATATGAAAAAAAAAAAATTAAGCTATTTCAATCTTTATTTTTGATATTTAAATTTGATATTGTTACCTCTTTTATTCCGTGCAAAACTGTATTTGATTGGATCCTTGAATTCGATTAATTAATCTATTTAATTATGTACTCAACTGAATTATATTCTTAAACTATTTAATTGTTAGATTGTTTTGCTTGCTCGTTGTTGTTTGATTATTTATAGAGCAATGCTACATAGACAGAAAAAATAGATTTAATAATCTCAACAATTAATTTTACTATAGGTCCCGGCATTTATTAGAATTTATTATCTATTCGATTATTGAGATTATCAAGTCTAAACTTTAAGTCCATCTAACATTATTCTTATTTATAACTGATTCTTATGACTTTGCCTATATTATCTGATAAAGCCCTCAAATTTCAGAACCATCAAAACCTATTCGCTCGCAAAAATGGCATTCTCCAGAGCTCGCACAGCTTCCTCAACACTCCACAAATTCCTCCACCCTCCAATCCGCCATTTCAACACCACTCCTCTTCATTCTCGCATATCATCAACGATGATGATGAATCAAATGCAAACCCTCGATATCAGCTCCCAAATCGGAAGCTGTATGCCCTTATCCATGATGAGAATCGGAACCCTAATCCACAACATTGAGCTCAGACCGGGCCAAGGAGGCAAGTTAGTCCGAGCTGCTGGTACTTCGGCCAAGATCTTGACGGTGCCCTCGACGTCGACTAGGTTCTGCGAAGTGAAATTGCCGTCCGGAGTGAAGAAATTGATCGATACCAAGTGTCGGGCCACGGTTGGGCAAGTGTCGAACCCGGAACATAGAAAGAAGAAGTTGAGAAAGGCGGGGCAGAGTAGGTGGCTTGGGAGAAGGCCGGTGGTGAGAGGTGTGGCCATGAATCCTGTTGATCACCCTCACGGTGGTGGGGAAGGGAGGAGTAAGAGTAGCGGGAGACATGGTCGGACTTCGTTGACGCCATGGGGGAAGCCGTGCAAGAGTGGGTATAAGACTGGGCCGCTCAAGCGCAAAAAGTAGTCGCAATTTGAAATGTAATGTTTTTCATTTCACATGCTTACTTGTTTTGTGGTGGATGAATTGAGGTATTATTGAGGATTGTTGAGTTACTATCGTCAAAATGTTCTTGCTTGTTGTTTGGGTTTTGGGATTTTAACATGGTAACACATAGTTTTATGGATTACTCTGTTTTTACTTTTTTGGTAACAATTTTTTCTTGCAATACGATATGCAGATCTGTGTGTGTGTGTGTGTGTGGACTTTTGAAGTAATGGAACGAGATCTCAAAGGCAACATCAGTTGAGATTTAGCTTTGAAAGGTAATTGTTGCCTTTGATTTCTTGTACTCCGTGGGTTGTTTTTTTTTTATCTTGAATGAAAGTTGAAAAGTTCCGCTATTATATGTGATGTTTAGTACTTTCTTGGTCTCTAAAGGATTTTCATGTGATCGTGTGGTTTTGTACAACGTGGTCTTGAAATCAAAGGGAACATTGTTCTTTTGTGCTGAAATTTCACACCATGCAAGTCGATGATTTCAGTACTTTTTTTTGTAACAGATCTTATTTCTCAGTTTTGGCTCATTGATTTTATGGTTTTTTATTACGTTTCAACACTTCGTTTTTAGTACTGATATTGATTATTTATAACCCAGTTCCACCTCATCTTAAATCTTCTCTCTCTTTCATGTGCCTTAAACAGAGGAAAGATGTCAGTATGCATCTCTACAAAACGTATTTTTCCAAGTCTTAATTGCATTTTTGATATTTTCAATGCGATGTAATATGGACATTAGAATTAGTTTTCGGTAATTTTTCACATGTTTTGCATGTCTTGGTTAAAGTTTATTAAATCTCCTCTCTTAGTGCTCCTGTTGTAGCTTCAACCCAAACTATCTGAAATTGGAGTCTCAAGGTCATTACACACTTTTCATCCAAAATCGCATCAATCAAGTGATTTTAAAGTGCATGGCTACATGTCAAACATCAAAGAAGCTTTTGCAACAGGTTCTCTAATCTTAGGATGGGCACCTATGTATCCATGGTCTTTGCCTTGGTGTTTCTATTTTTAGCTTGAAAGCCCTAGAGGTGTTCACTTATTTGACTATGGATTGAGTGAATTTATGTTTGTATTAACTGCTTTTTTGTATTATTTTGTTTTACTTAAAAGTTTTTTCTTTTTGGCTTAATTTAAATGTTTTGGTTCAACAATTAAATTCTTTGTGGTGGGCGTTGTGAAAAAAAGAAGTATTTTAGCTTGGTATTATGTGTAAAAAAGGGTTNTACTTAAAAGTTTTTTCTTTTTGGCTTAATTTAAATGTTTTGGTTCAACAATTAAATACTTTGTGGTGGGCGTTGTGAAAAAAAGAAGTATTTTAGCTTGGTATTATGTGTAAAAAAGGGTCTTATCAGTTTTTGTAGGGTTTGTTGTTTGATAGTTTCAATTGGATATGTAAAGGTTGGAGATTTGGGTTAGAATATTTGATTCAGAAGCTGCCTTTAATACCTAAAGTTTGATTTGTGTGTTCATTGGCTTTTTTTATTGAATGGTTAAATGTAAATTTGACCTAAAAGTTGACAATTACACCAAATTTCATTGAAAACCAGCTGAAAATTGTTCTTTGTACAGAGAAGTTAATTGTAGGAGGCTCACAACAAAAGTAGGATGTCATACTTTGGTTTGTAAGTGATGGTGGCAGGGGAGGGGGAAATAGGCTGTGTTTGGGTGTTTGTTGTGGATTTTGTCCCACATATGTTTTTAAAAGAAATGAAATTTAGGGCATGTATGAATTTTTTAAGGCTTCTCATATGATTGGCCTACTATTGGATTTTGCTTTGTTTTAATTTTTCAAGTACATTTGTGGCAGGATTTCATGTCTCTCTCTCTCTCTCTCTTTTTTTTCTTTTGTGGGTTTGAATGTGATAACTTCAGTTTGTATACCTCTTGATTAAAGGTAGTAGTTTGATATTGGTTTTGATTATTTTATTTGGCTTTTTATCTTATTGTGTCTAGTAATAGCAGTAATGACGTGATGAGATTATTGATGGAAAGTGGTGTTTGTTTACATAGAGGTTTGATTATATAAGTCGTATGTACAGGTTGATATTGTTCAAGGATCATGTTTTCAAAAGAAATTCTATCAAATTTTTTTAAAAATAAAAGTTGGTTCATATCAACTATTCGAACTTTGGTTTGTTATGCCAGTTATTTTGATTTGAGATTCTTGTGTGTAAATTGTAATCATAGTTACGTATAATATGTTGTTGGTAGTAGTGTTGTTAAATATGGTTGATTGTTGAAATAGTGGATGCTGATATGCATTCTAATTGACCATTTTTTTTTATGCAATGCCTTCAGACTTGAATGATTTCTATATTATAGATGGTGAATTATGAGATGCATGGCTCCAATTCAATATCTAATTGTCTATCAAAGGTCGTGCTTAAATTCGTTGACTTAAATGTCTTTGAAAACGTAAGTCTTTGACAATGTTGTTAATCGGAACTTTTATTGTTTAGAGTATTCTCTATGTCTTTATTTGATGCAAAGTTTTATATTCAGACAACACTCGGCTTTCTTTTGTTCTTTAAAATCCTCTTAACTTTATAAAGATAGTTGTTGGGACGACGATATCATATATGCTTTTACTTATTGAGATTTGTACTATAGATCATGCAATTAAGTAGGGCTGATAATCTTACCGAGTTATTCGGGTTCGGCTCGTTTCGGACTTGGTTTGTTTATCAAACAAATTGAGTTTGAACAATTTTTTAGATTTATTTAGAAAAACGAGCCTAAAGGTTCGAGTTGAGTTCGGCTTGGGTTCGATTCACTTTCTAAATGAATCGAGTTTATATAATTTTTTAAGTTCGTTTAGAAAAACAAGTTTGATGGGCTCGACTTAAGCTCGCATAGGTCGACTCGATTATTAATCTTACAAGTAAGAACAAAACTGTCAAAATAGTAACACAAAACTAACCCGATTGTAGAATAGGGACAATTTAAGAATTTGATGGAAGACCGGTGCTTAACACTATGTTTTAACACTTATTTCACCTCCACTCCGGTGCTTAGTGAGGCAAGGAAGAAATGGCCTACCTAACTTGATTCAGAGATAGTTCATCTTGAATACAGACCACTGAAGTACCTCAAAAGTTCTATTACTCCTAATCGAATGCATGCTCGGTGGGTTGCCGAGATTCAAGAAATCACTTATTGACCACAGTTATAGTGAGGTGATTGACTTTGATTATCTGAAGAAGTTGTATGCAGAGGATGAGGATTTTGAGCAGATTTGGGGCCCGTATTTAGATGCACATGGAGTCTGGGGAGATTTTCAGGTCCACAACGGTTTCTTGTTCAAAGCCACTCAGTTTCACCTTGAGTGTCCTTACAAGAACAGATCATTCGGGAGTTGCATAGTGGTGATCTAGGATGACATATGGATAGGGATAAGAGTGTTGCCTTAATGGAGGAGCTTTATTTTTTGCCCCAACTGAAGAAAGATGTGAAGCATTTCGTTAAGCAGTGCGAAACATGTTAGATGACAAAAGGGCATGCACAGAATATTGGATTGTACACTCCTCTACCTATTACCGATGCACCATGGGAGGATCTATTCATGGATTTCGTGTTGGGTCTTTCGTGGACTCAACGGAGTATGGATTCTATTTATGTTGTAGTGAGATTTTCCAAGAGGGCACATTTATCCCATGTAGGAAAACTTCAAATGCTACTCATGTGGCTCATCTATTCTTTTGGAGATTATGCGTTTACATGGTTTTCCCAAGACCATTACTTCTGACCTTGACAACAAGTTCCTTAGCCACTTATGATGAACTTTATGGAAGAGGTTGGACATATCATTACAACACAGCAGCTCAAGTCATCCACAGACTGACGGGCATATGAAGGTGGTGAATCAGACTTTGAAAAATATTTTGAGGTGCCTTTGCAAAGAATATCCAAGGGTGGGGTAATACTTTGTCCCAAGCAGAGTTTGCTTACAATAATATGCCACACAGATCCACGGGGAAATCCCCATTCCAAGTTGTTTACATTCGAGCACCTCTACACACGTTTGATCTGGTTTCATTACCAAAGCTTTCGGAAATGAATAGTGTAGTTGAACCCATGTTAATGAAACTTATGGATGTGCATGCGGAGGTAAAGTAACAGTTGCATGCATTGACAACCAAGTGTAAGCAGACAGTAGACAAGCATCGCCAACTGAAGGTTTTCAAAGTTGGGAACAAGGTTATGATTCACCCGCGCAAGGAGATGTTACCAGTTGGGTCTTACAACAAGCTCAACCGGAAGAAGATTGGTTCTTTGAAATTTTGACGAAGATCAATGACAATACTTATGTTGTTGATCTTCCTAGGGAAATGGGCTTCTCTAGCACTTTTAATGTGCAAGACTTGTTCAAGTTTCATTTTGATTCCATTGAACTTCCACAATCAAGGATGTGTTCTTTTCAAGAAGGGAGGACTGATGTAGGTCAGGTAGCAACTGATTACTTAGAGCGGGAAGATTGTCACGCATCCAAAGCCCAATGAATGACCAAAAAGTAATAGTAGCAGCAAAATGGGTTAGACTCGGAATTAGTTGAGACCAGTGGTGTTTGATTTAGATCAGGCCAACAATCAAGACTCATTGCTTTGTCATGAGCTCATTCAAGTTTTGGGGTAAATTCCATCGTTTAGACCCTTAAAACTNATGCACAGAATATTGGATTGTACACTCCTCTACCTATTACCGATGCACCATGGGAGGATCTATTCATGGATTTCGTGTTGGGTCTTTCGTGGACTCAACGGAGTATGGATTCTATTTATGTTGTAGTGAGATTTTCCAAGAGGGCACATTAATCCCATGTAGGAAAACTTCAAATGCTACTCATGTGGCTCANGTTAGATTGTAATTTTTCATTTTTGGTAATTTTCGTATAAATAGGAATTTTGCTTCCATTATGAGGACGATTAGGTTTTGACCGTTCCTATATATTGGCTTATGTATTATGAGTTAGTCATTCAGTAATACAATAATTTTCAGAGTTATTCTCTTATTTTTCTGTGGATTCAGAGTGTGTATTCTATACACTTAGAGACGGTAATCTCTCCGTGTCCCTTCGTTACCGTTGTGTCAGCATGTGTTTGCAATTTCACCCCTTTGGTATTTATCCATGACCACGACCCTTATCTACTAAACAAATTGTCCAAGGTGATTTTTTTTTTTTTTGAAAAGGAGTCCAAGGTGATTGTATCATATTAAACACAATACTTGACAGTGTTATCATCTTTCTCGTATAGACTTGCATATCCTTTTTAATATTTACTTGGCTGTCTACAGATTATTTTTGCTTTCGATTTTTGTTTGTCAAACCCTATAACCTTATACATTTTATCCAATAACTGATTGGACCTAATTCCAATTTTCATCTTAATAGGCTTTAGACAAGCACCTTCATGAGCAATGCAATATTTTTGAGTGGCCATCCTTACGATACCAATATATAGCACATTTATATTGCACTTTGTCCACCATAAAAAGGACAGTTTAGTGGGATTTTTGAAGAATCAAATTTATGCAGCCTTACATTGCGTGCATTTGAAAAAACTGTCCGTAACTTGATCCCTTGTTGTCTAAGTCACAACGAGGCTAGAGCTCATTATAATCAATATTGTCAAATCATAAATAGTGCATGTCTCGTACACCAGCCAGACATGAAATGAATTCGAAAATACGAGAAAGGAGGCAGAAGAGCCTACAGATGGGACTGATGTTGCTAGAAGATGCTTTGAGAGTGCAATGCAAGGAGAGGAAATCAAACTGCTTTAATAGAACTCCTTTTGGATGGAAACAATCTCCAGGGCAGCATCCCTTCAAGTTTGGTGAAGTGCCAAAAGTTGCTAGCACTAAATCTTTCTCAAAAGCATCTTAATGGCACAATACCTGTATCTAGTCACTATCCTTATTCTTGGATTTGTCTTATAAACCATTTCATTGGTTCTCTTCCCATTGAAGTGGGAAACCTAAAAAGTTTAGGTCACTTGAGTGTTTTTGAGAACATGTTAACCGGTGAAATTCCTGGCACACTTAGTAGCTGCCAAAGTTTGGAAATCTTATACATGGATGGAAAATTTTTTCAGGGGACCATTCCTTCAACTTTTAGTTCCTTGGAGGTATTCAAAGGTTAGAGCTTTTGCACAACAATTTGTCAGGCGAAATTCCACAATATTTTGCTAGATTTGACTTGAAATATTTGAATCTTTCTTTAAATGGTTTTGGTGGTCATGTGCCAAAAGAAGGTATATTTGAGAATGCAAGTGCAACTTTGATAAATGGAAACCCTACACTTTGTGGGGGTATAAACCTGAATTGCAGCTTCTAGAATGGAATTTTAAACTGTCTAAGAACATAATCTCTGTTTTCACCTTTAAACTTGTCATATCAAAAGTGTCTGGGCTTCTGGGACAAATTATTATGGTGGGTTTTCTATTCCTGTGTTGGTATGGAAAAACAAAGGAAAAACCTTCCGCAGATTTAACAGGAAATTCACGCTTGAAATTGTCTTATCAAAGTCTCCGTCGAGCTACTAATGGGTTCTCTATTGCCAATTTGATTGGTGTGCGTAGTTTCAGATCTGTGTATAAAGGAGTTCTTGATCATGATGGAACCATTGTTGCAGTGAATGTAATTAACTTGATGCATCATGGAGGTTTCAAGAGTTTCATAGTCGAGTGCAAGACCTTGACTGCATGTTCAGGTGTTGATAATCATGGTAACGATTTTAAGGCTTTGGTTTACGATTTCATGGAAAACGGCAGTCTAGAAGAGCATTTGCATACAAATCTCATAGAAGATTCTGCTCCTTTGCAATCCAAGAAGTTAAATATTCTTCAAGATTAAATATAGCCATTGATGTTGCTTGTGCACTGAATTATCTTCACAATGGCAGCCCAACCCCAATAGTTCATTGTGATATAAAGCCATGTTCTTCCAGACAAGGAATTGGTTGGTCATGTAGGTGATTTTGGTTTAGCAAGATTCCTTCCAACAACCACACAAAACTTCTCAACAAATCTAGCAAGTTCTACTGGTTTGACAGGATCCATTGGTTACACTACTCCAGGTAATACCCTAACAGTGTTGTCAAATTTTTTTCCTTTTGCCTTTTTTTTTTAAAATTCTATTTGATTGCATGTTCAAGTAAGTCATTGGAAACACTATACATGACTACTTTTATTGGTTTAGGAGGAAAAAAAAGTTTTGCCTCAACACCATATCACTAGTTTTGTCCTTTAAAAGTTAACATCGTGTTATTTGCATTTTGCTTGGTACCAAGCTACTAGCTTATTCATTCATTTACTAAACATTGGCCAATATCAGGAAGAAAATGGTGATACCTATTGTAGAAGAAGGGCATTCATTGAGGTCTAGGAAGCTAGTTGCATTCAGTATGCATGAAAGAAATTTAGCCCTGGGTCACACCACTACTTTGTCACTTCTATCAGCTAGGAAGGGATACAAAATTTCATAATTTTCTTTAAAAAATGTACTGGTGTCAAGCTTATCGATTCAATGCCAAATGAATATCAACTTTTAGTTGGTGAATAGGTTGTTTTTAGAACTAGAGTGATGATTGGTAGCAACTAGATTTATTGAAAAGCACTTCACCTTTGGATGAAATTAATCCTTTCATGTGCCTCGCATTTCCATTTATGCACAAGCGTTAACATTTTCCAAAATGCTTTACGCGATTTCTCTACAAACCAAAGTTAATTTGTATGGTATGCACAATCTAGAGTATGGAATGGGAAGTGTTTTTTCAACATACGGGGATGGTACAGCTTTGGCATCCTTCTGTTGGAAATGTTCACACGGAAGAGGCCTACTGATGAAATGTTTAAAGATGGATTGGACCTTTATAATTTTGTTGTGAGAACTTTGCCTAACCGAGTAGCAGAGATTGTGGATCCAATACTTTTTGAGGGGAAAGAAGAGGAAGTGATAAGTGTGAACCACACTGGATATCGATAACTTAGTNTGGATCCAATACTTTTTGAGGGGAAAGAAGAGGAAGTGATAAGTGCGAACAACACTGGATATCGATACCTTAGTAAAAATCACAAACATCAAGAGGGGTTGATTTTAGTACTTTCTATTGGAGTTGCTTGTTCAAAACAATCTGCAAGAGAAAGAGTGCATATTAGTGATGTTATCACTGAGTTGCATTCCATCAGGGATGCTCTTCTTTGAACATGAATATTCAAGCAAAGCTAAATGGTAGCAGGCTATTAGTTTGCCTTAATGACTAAACCATAGTAAGCATCTCATTTTCTTTCCTAAATTTTTGTTACTACTGTATGGTGGTGTTTCGATGTAAAACTAAGTAAGCTTACGGGCCATTTAAATGGTCCAAGGAAATTGATTGCCTTTCTGCATATAATTTGAAGTGCAGTCCTTTTTTGTAAGCATTTTGAAGGAATATTAAACTACGCATTGGTTATTTGCAATAAAAACAATTAAGATGGATATATTTGTAAAATATGTTTGTGGGTTATAAATTTGTAAGTGTAGTATATAAAGTACTATGCTGCTGATATGTATGGATTCTATTTATGCGTCGATGANGCTGATATGTATGGATTCTATTTATGCGTCAATGCACCTAGATGAAGTTTGTGTTATGGGTTACTATGATTATTCACAGGTTTATATTAACCTACTAGGGGTCCACTCTACCGGAATAAGTATACATTACTATTGTTGGGCTGGGGTTTGACAAAAGGGTTTTTTTTTAAATATGCATTTTGAATGAGTCATGGTATGGAGGTTTTTTAGATACCACCCCTTGGTATTTAGGAAGTTGAAAAAGAGACTTGGTTTAAGAGGATAACCAGTAGATAGCGCTCTCCAAACGCTCTTGGGAAGTTGGAAAATGGACTCGGGACCAAAAATAAAAAAGCAAGCCAATGTTCAACGCTCTGTAGCGCTTGTTACAGTGCTCGAGCGATGCACTATTCACGGTAAGAAAACATTGTTCCAACAACCAGCGCTCTCTAGACCGCTCGAAGCTATGTCGCATACAGAGCTGTATTGCATGCCGCTAAACTTCTATTTTCCTATTCCTATAAATAACGGACATGTACTTTCTAGGTATTATGAGAGACACAAGGAAGGCTCTAGAGTTTAAGAAAGGCCACCAAGCCTTTGGAAAACTTACCCTAGTTCTAATCAAACCTCAATCCCTGTATGATCTACATATAATTCTTGTATGAATTTAAGCAAAACCTTCGCAGGTCTTATAGACCACCAATACCCACAACACAAACGGTCCAAGGAGGATACCAAGAATCAAGGGAGGATTCCAAAGGAGGAGGAGTATTGCAAGGACAGACCCTGGAGTTCAATTAAATGCCTATTGAAGCTAGTTCTCAAGAGCTTGTGGTGGATTTTCACAGTGAAGATTGAGTGGGTGTACGAGACTAAGCGAGCCTTACTAGATTTTCACTAAAAAACTAAGGGGGTACGTACTAGATGGCGGACATTGATGACTGTAAGTCGGAGTTAGTGTACCGAGACTGTAGCGGTCGCTCGATACTGTCGCCATGTTAGATGGGATGGGCATGGGAAAAAGCATGTCGGGCGAATGAGGTAGCTCCATACCGAAGAATTAGGGGTTTGTAAGAGGCCGGGAAAAATATGGTTATGGTTTTTCCCAAGAAGGTTTACACATCAAAAATTGTTTGTGTTGTGTGTTGTGATTGTCTTTACATACTTGGAATTTGTTTCTTTCCTTCAAGCAATTGATAAATTGTGTGAGTGAATCTGACTTGTGTTGTTGGCTATTCTAATTGCTTAAATTATTTGGTGGAAGTGATTGGAGTGATAAGGTTTGTGGATTGTATTTGTTCGACATTGAATTAACTTGAGTTTTTACACTCTCACTAATTTGGTCATTAGGTCTAAGCCATTGAGGGGTTAACTGAACTAATTAATTAATTAATTAAATTGTATTTGAATGGGATATATTTTATTTGGACATTAATTTTGTGTTAAGAGTACATAAGACCTATTCACCTTCCCCCTCTAGGTCAATTACGTCTATTTCTTTCACCGTATTTGGGTCGATCTCTAATTGGCACCCGCAATAAAAGACCATGTCCTCTAAGCTAGCTATTTTACTAGACTACTATGTATGGCTTTGTTTAACTTAGGATCATTAACTCTAAATATACTTGCACAATAGTCGAAGTGGGACTGCTCCAAAGAAATGAGCCTCGAGTTTCTTTCTTGAAAGAAAAAATTTCATCCACGTCTCCCATAAAATAGCCTAGCTTAAAGGATACCCACTGCATTAATTTAAACTTCGCTAACAACCCTTGTTAGATTTTGTGGGTCAATGGATGCAACAAAAATATGATGGTTTTATGTTTTTGCCTCCTTAGATTCACCTATATGCTGCATGAGATTTGAATATATAACACATATAGACAAGTGTATGAAGATATATATATATATATATATAGAGAGAGAGAGAGAGAGAGAGAGAGAGAACAAAGAATATTTGCCTAGGGTCAGAGGGATGGATGGTGGGGGCAGTGGGAACTTGCCCGCATTGTAACTTTCTAGAACATTTGGGGTTAAATTAAATTTATAAGAAATTTCAAATTTCTTAAAATTTACCTTTATTCAATTTTTTTTTGTCTCTTCCCGTTGCAATGGCACATCTTGGTAATGATCCAACCCTTCTCCAAATATGATTAGTTAATATGGATTAATATTTTTAACTGGTTATCCGAGTTTAAATTTATAAGGTCGTGTTTCCCAAATTAAAAGTTAGATATAATATATGATGATGAAACTAAATTGACATTAAGATGATGTAATTGATTCAAATCATACTTTAGTTGTGTTACGAATCAGATCGAATTTTCAATCGGATTTTTGTTATTTAATGAATTCGAATATGGACTGTGAAACAAATTCATTGGATAATCGGATCTGATTCATGCAATTGCATTTTACACTACACTTACTAACATCGCTAAAACACATCCAGTGACTCCAACTGAATTTTTATATTTCAAGTTTACTAAGGTCTTTGTCATTTTATCCACATGTTGAACTTGTCCCCAACCAATTGTTTTACCACTTGTTACAAAAAAAAAATGTCACAAAAACATACAGACATAGAATCCTTGCAAAGTCTTCGTAGTCATTCTTTGTTCTCCTTTTCGATTCTTCCTCCAATGTTTGTCTTATTACTGGAACTTTTAATCTGACTTGCTTTGGGAACCTTCTTTTCACAAATTGAGAATACTTTTTCTGTGTTTTTAATTCATGAATCTCTATCTCACGATCTTGTATTCTAAAAATCAGTGATATGTCGTGACCACTGACTAATGCTCCGTTTGATACGATGGAAAAGTGAGAGGATAGAAAGTTAAAATGATAAATAAAATATCATGTTTGGTAAGGAAGGAAAGTAAGATGGAAGGATGGATGGAAAAGTAGATGGATTAACTTTTTTTTCAATTCACCAAAATCAATTCCTCCAAAATCGAAAAGAAAGTGGATGAAAAGTTAATTATTTGTGTTGAGATGTATCTTATTTATCTTTATATCTTATGTATACATTAATTTTATATAAAAATACAATGGTAAAATATGTATATATATTTTAAAAAATTTTAAAAAATAATTTTTTTTAAAAATATAAAGAAAATAAAAAATAAAAAATTTAAATTTAAAAAAAATATATTTTTTCCATCCTAACTAAAGGTAATAATTTTCAACTCAACACGATGATACGACTCGAACTCGATACGAAGATAAATAGATCAACTCGCAACTCGACATAACATAACTCGACTGTATTGTCACCCATAATCTTAGCTAGCACA